TTCTCTCAATTATGAAGCGTATTTATGATGATTGTAATTTCTTGTTTCTTAGCCGCTTTAAGACTTTGACCCAATTCTTTTTCAAGTCATTATTTTAATTGTAATATCATTTATAAATACATAGAATCTTAATATGAGACTTCCATCTAAACTCCAAAATCACGGACCCAACTTGGAGATCAACATTTCAAATTTTAAACGTAAAACGATATTCGATTGCAATCTTACTGAGATCAGACGGGCATAATCAAACAGAGATGATTTTTGATTAGGTCAAAATTTAAATTTTAAAGATAGAAATTGTTTTTTTTTTAAATCCCATTATCAACCTCTCTCTACAATCTATATATAAAAGAAGCGAAGACACCTCCGTACCTTCTTGAGGCTTTAGTTCTTCTCCCTCCATACTCTCTCTCTCTCTCTCTCTCTCTCTCACAACAGTTTCAATCATCTTACCTTCAAGTAAGTTTAATTTAATGTTAATTTAATTTTGTATTTTCCTTGTTCCAGAGTTTCAATTAGCCATTTCTGTGTTGCGACGTGTCTTCTATTATTATTTTTGTAATGTTTGTGTACATAGATCCAGTCGATTGATTTTTTCAGTGGCTTAAATTTTCTTTTAATTCAACTATTGGTTTTTATGTCTGCTTTATTTTGCTCTATTTATTTTTTAGACGGCAACACCATCAACATCAACAAAAGTGAGCTTGAAGCTTTACATTGATACAAGAAAACAAACAGTTATGTTCGCAGATGCATCCAAGGGTGTCGTTAACATGCTCATCAACCTACATCGCTTGCCGGTGTCATCAATTGTAAGCGACAACGACATGGTGAGTTGCGCCGGAAAATTCTACAATAGCATCAAGAGTTTCAACAAAGATGCTGCAAATTACATGTTGAATAATCAAGATAACAAGGACAAGGAAAAGTGGAAGATTCCAAGGTGACTTTATGCGTGCGAATATGGTTGCCACTATGTGACGAATGTGAAGTACTCTGTATGTCCAGAATGTGGGGATGAAATGTCTGAAGATATAACTTATGTCGACAATGATTTCCCTAAAAATAATGATACTGTGCAGATCACAGCCGCCACGAATTACACAGTGATGGATAATTTAGAAGTTTTTCCGATGCCTATTAATTCAACTCTCACATTGCTCTCTAATTTTGACATCAAAGACATTTCTTCCTTGGAAGAAAGGGTGGTTGAGGTTAGCAGAGAAGAGGTATGTAATGTTTGGAATCATTTAGGGTTTTTTTTTAATATATATATATATATATATATATTAGGTGAGTTGGGTCCTTGGACCTTAGTAGGGCCATGTTATGTTCAAGCTCAATGAGTCTTTATAGATCATCCACTAATAAGGTCTTTAAATGCTTGTGGGTTATAAACTAAATCCTTACTAATTGAACTAACCTTTATTGGTTAGAGTTTTTTTTATTTGTATTTTTATTTTTTAAAATAAAATTTGTTTAGGTAAGTGTTTTTGATTTAAATATTTTTAAAATTGTTTTCATTTTTTATTTTTAAAAGCAAAAAAATAAAAATATCTCAGAGATTTCATTTTCTTTTTTATTTTTAAAGCATGCTACATTTGACTATTGTAAGCTCTTTAAATATACTCAACTACTATTTGCTACCACTGACTCTAAAATTGTTTTCAAATTAATATAACCAAAAATATTTTTTTATTTTTTAAAAATTAGTTTGCAAATTAATTTTTAAAAAACAAAAAATGAGAGCAAACCGTAACAAGCCTTTAATCATTTTAGTAAAAAAATCTAACCAAGCCTGATCTTTCTTTGTTTTTCTCTTTTTGGTTTTTACCGAAATATAACCTAGTGGCTTTAATTTTTTTTTTTTTAATTCTTTGTATAGGGCATCCAACTCTTGAAGGCGTCCCTTAAGTGCAAGAATGTTTTGACTAGTGTTTTCCTCAAGGATAATTATGTGAAACCATGTGGCTTGAAAAGAAAGAATACAGGCGCCGACCTCTGAATTTTTGTTATGTCTTACATTAATTAAGACTGATAATGTAGTTTCAGAGTAATGCAACTTTTATTCTTTTAAATTTGTTTGTTATTACTTTGGTCTCTCAGGTTTTAATTTTATTCAATTTAGTATATTAGGTTTACTTTGTTAGTCCAATTGTTTGAAAAGGAGAGGTTACATTATTAAAATTTGCTGATATTAATAGGAAAATATTCACTACAAAAAAACTGACTTTCAACGGTGACATTTAAGTCAAAAAGTCACCGCTGAAAGTTTTCAACGGTGACAAAAGTCACCACAATATCGCCGTGAGAGCTCCTATCGCTGATTCAATCTGCGGCAACAATAAAAGTCGCCATTGAAAGTTGAGAATGCCGAAAGTCAAAAAGTCGCCATTGAAAGTTTTCAGCGGCAACAAAAAGTCATCGTCGTGAGAGCTCTTGTTGCTGATTCAATTTGCGACAACAATAAAAGTCGCCGCTGAAAGTTGAGAATCGGTGACGACAAATGTCGCCGCAAAAACCACACATCAACGGTGATTATTTTTGTCACTGCTGAATGTTAAATATCAGTGGCGACATTTGTCGCCGCGGAAGCTACCAAAAAGTCACCGCTGAAAAGTAATGTTGGTTCACTTACACACATGGCACCACGTCACTGTCCTTGTGGCACCCCACCTCACGCCACGTGGCACCATGTAACCCTCCACGTAAGGCCCTACCTTGCACCACGTGGCGCCATGTTACTTTCCATATGTTGCTCTCACTATACACCACGTGGCACCCCACCTCGCACCACGTGGCACTATGTCACCCTCCATGTGTCGCCCTCACCTCACGCCATGTGGCATCATGTCACTCTCCATGTGTTACTCTCACCACACACCACGTGTCATAATGTCATCAATTTATATTTTCATTTTGAAAGTTGTCTCCTCCAAGGTAACCCATGTCCTCCTCCTTTTATATCCAACCATTTTGCCACTGAGCTAGAATGAACCTGCAGTCTATTATTGCATAATTATATATATATATACACATATTATTAAACTATACAAACACACACATATATATATATTATATATTAAATATTATAAAATATCATTACTATCCTTAAAATACTTCAATTTAATTCTTTTAATTTATAAAATTACAAATTATATTATTTATTTTGTTTAAAGTAAACTATAAATATAATTGATATATATATATAATTTGTATTATTTATTTTATTGTTTTTACTTCTTGAGGTTGTTATATTATTTATTTTAATATTTATAATTATAATATAAAAATATCTAAGAATAAATAGTAAAAATACTAATGATTATACATTAGTAAAAAAAATAATAAAATGTAGACAATCAGTGGCGACACTAAAAAGTCGCTGCTGATTCTCAACTTTCAGCGGCGACTGAAACTTACAACATAATTTTTTTAAAAAAATTATAAAAATGCTAACAAACAGCAGTGACACTAAAAAGTCATCATTGATTCTCGACTTTCAGCGGCAACTTGTATGTCGCCGCTGAAACTTACAACATAATTTTTTTAAAAAAATTATAAAAATGGCCAAATCTTTCACATTTATAACAAACTATTTCTATTTTATCTTTTTTTTTTAAATTATCTTTTCTAATGGTTTTTCTATGTTTTTTCATGAAATATTTTTTATGTCTCATATATCTTTTATAATAATATTATATATAATTTATTTTTTTATTTTTCCTAGAAGGGGCTTGTATTTTTCTAACTCTAGTTTTATAATATTAATTATTTGTTCATATGTTAAAACAGTAGAATTTATTGTTCTTCGTTATAACTCGTAAAATAAAAGTAGAAGAAAATATAGAAAATGAAATAGATAACACCCTTTTTGAAATAAATTAACAAGGATACATAAACATAATATCACATATAACTTATAAAAAAATGATATTGCCAAGTAAGTTTAGTAACAAACAGAGAATATTCAAGAAATATAATATTCAAAAATCTTGTGAAAGAATAGGAAAGTTAGAAAGTGGTGTTCCTATTAAGCCTAGGAAGAACAATATCAATAGAAAATAAAACTTGTAGAAATAGAAATATGAGATGGTTTGATAAGATATTAGGATCTAAGTCAAAAAAGAAGAATAAGATAAATCTTAAGAGTCTTAGTCTATAGCCAAATAGAAATAGTGAACCTGAAGGAAAAGTAGAAGAGGTAGAAATAAAGAAATACATTATAAAAGAATTGAAGAACAAATAGAAATCTCAAAAATAGAAAATAGAATAAATTAAATAAGAGAAAAATTTGAAAGAGATATTTGTGCAGAATATCCAAATTCTTTTTGAAATAAAAAAAGACACAAGAAATCATGGGTGAAAAACAAATATGACAAAAGAAGAAAAAGAAAAAGCAAAAGAAAAACAAGAGTTGAATCTTGTCAAAAAATAATTTAAGCCAAAAAAAAGGTAATTAAGTGAAGCAAATCAAAAGAGCTAATTTAACCATGATTTTTCTAAATTTATATAAAATTAGAAGACTTTTGATTTTGCAGGCATTGAGTTAAATGGCCTTTTCTCTATCTCTTAATATAAACCTCTCTCCACTTGTAATATTAAAAGATATGTATCTGTATCTATACATACATACATACATTCATTCATTCATACAACTTGGTTAAATAAATGGAAATGAAAATAAATTGAAACTTAAATAAAAATAACATCATGAAATTGATAAAAAAAAATATATTTTTTCTTATGAAAAATACTTTAATCTAATTTTGAAAACACAAAAATTAAAATTATCATAAAATTTAATTTCTAAAGCATAAGAAAGCTAACAATCAGTGGCGATACTAAAAAGTCGCCGCTAATTATCAATTTTCAGCGGTGACTTGTATGTCATCGTTGAAACTTGCAACATAATCTTTTTACAAAAATTATAAAAATGCTAATGATCAGCGGCTACACTAGAAAGTCGCTGCTGATTCTCGACTTTCAGCCGTGACATGTATGTCGCCGCTGATTCTCGACTTTCAGCGGCGACAGCAGATGTCGTCGCTGAAAGTGTGACTTTCTGCGGTGACATGTACTTGTCGCCGTTGAAAGTTTGACAATCAGCGGCGACTATATCTTGTCGCCGCAGAAAGTCACACTTTTAGCGGCGACTTTTATTGTCACCGCTGAAAATTGAGAATTAGCGGTGACTTTTTAGTGTCATCGTTGAAAGTCACCGCTGAAAGTCATTTTTTTTGTAGTGATTGATGGCAACCACGCAGGTTCATGAAAAGAAGGATAATTAATTTGGTAGAGAAAAAGCATTTTAAAAAACAAGAGAACAAAACACAATGAAAGGGATTATATTGATAAAAGTTAAACTAATTTGAGGGTTAATTTGTTCTTATTTAGCTACATATACATACCAACTCATCAATAAACTTTACACATTAGATTATGTGGTTTGTGTTTTGAAATTTAAAGCACTCACATAATAATTTAAAAAAACATAAGAGATCAAATAAAAAAAAATAAATTTGAGGGACCAAATCATTAGTTGAGGCAAACTTGAAGTGCTAAAAGTCTCATTATCTTAGCCTATGACTTTAATTTTTGTATGCTATGTGGACTCAATGATTTTCATTAAACTTTTCGTTACCAGAGTAATTTTCCTAATTTCTTTTGTGTCTTTTTAATCTGTACTCCGTCCATTCTACTCCTTTCCCTCCTTATTTGAGGATATTTTTTGAAATATTTTTTAATTCTTAATATAAGATACCTGATTAGGTATTTATTATATTTTTTAATATAATTCTATTTAAACTTATTAACTATGAGAATGTAATGTAAATTTAAAAAATCTTATTTTTAGACAAAGTTAATAACTTAACATCCTTTTTTTTTTTGGTAAGGTAGTTAGAGGTTCATTATTATAATTAGGACAGGAAGAAGTATAAGTTATTTTTTTAGAAGAAATCTAGAAAAATTTATGATTCTTTTTATAAATCACTTTATATGAAAAAACATAATTATCACTAATTATTTTTTTAATTTCATCCTTTCACAATTTTTTATGAATAGTGGGTAAAAAATCTATAGGAGAGATAACACACACACACACATATATATTTATGATTTAACAAGGGTTTCAGCTAAAAAAGGATTTAATAAGGGTGAATTGAGAAACAACATTAATAATTTAATTACACGATTTTTTAATTTTAGTAAACTATTTAAAAATGACTTATAAATAAAATTAAAAAGTATGCATTATGCTGGCGTGGATGATATACTCCCTCCACGTGTCTAATGTACATTGCATTTGAGAGAATGTTAATTAAAATTATCTAAATTCTGATTCAAAGAATCAAATCACGTCCACCCTTCCTGTTGTTCTTCCAGGAAAAAAAAAAGTTATAAGCCAATGAAACGCCATGATCTGAAATGTTCTCCATTTTATAGCATATACTTCCTCCGATTTTTTTTTTATATATTTTTAAATCAACATAACTAACCAACTAACTGAGCCATTACTTAAAACACAAGTTTTTATTATCAAGTTTGAAACCCTAACCGTCAAGATAAAGAGACTAATGGACCAGTTTTGCTTAGATTCAGGTGACTTCTTGCGTTTCCCCTTCTTGATTCTTGCATAATGCTTAAACTTCTAAAAGCCGTACATTCTTCCTTCTTTGTTTGAGAACATGAGTTGCAGTATGAGCTGCAATCGAAATATTATCAGGATAGTTGAGCTACACACAGTGTGAAAACTGGAAGTGTAAAATCAGCATAATTGATCAAACTTTAATTATTATTATTATTATTATTATTATTATTATTACTGATTAGAAACTAAACATATGTATTAAATCAACTCAAAAGAGTACAACCCAAGATCTCACGCGGTATGCCAACTTGGCAAAATGTAGTCAAACCATATTCTCTTTCAATATAATTAACGGTCAATGTTCATCTACTTAACGTCATGGGTAAGGTGAAGGAACTTTTTATATATTTCATGAGTTTAAAGTCCAGAATGTTACTTCCATAATAGTTTATGGAGTATATTGCTGATTAATGCTAAATTAAAATATCCAACTACAATTCATATTTTATTATATTTTCTAAATTTCAAATCTCAGATGCATACCATTTAATTATTTGAAATTGAAATATTAGTCAGTATAGTCACTTTATAATTCTTGCTTTCTTAATGTTTTCGTTTCTCATTTTGCTTTGTTGTCTTTTAATTTAAAACTTTTTATATCACTCAAATAAAGAATTCTAAATTGTTGAAATTACCAATCCTTCCTTGATCAAAATCAGGTCATTAATGTCAAATATAATTAACGAGTATATATTTAGCATACTCCAATTTAATGGGGCTTTACAAAATTATGAAATTGATTGTGAATTAATTCTTGATTGAATCCAAATCAGAAAATTTACCTTTTGTAATGAATGTGGAATATTTCATCACAATAATTTCCTTTATTATGAGATGAATTTATAAGAATTGCAATTTCTTGTTTTGTAGCTGCTCAGATCTATTAAGACTTTAATTCGACATCATTCTTTTTGGATATCATTGTTTTAATTCTAATATCATTTATAAATACATAAATTTGTTTTTTTAAAAAAATGAGATTTTGATCTGAAAACCAAATCACCGACCCAACTTGGAGATCAACCTTTCAAGTTTTAAGCCTAAAACGATATTCGATTTAATTCGGTTGCAATCTTACTGGGATTGGCATGATCAAATAGAGATGATTTGATTAAGTCAAAATTTAAATTTCAATGCTAGAATTATTATTTTTTTAAAACCCCATTATCAACCTATTACATCCATTCCTTCTCCGTATCTTCTCAACGCTTAAGTTCTTCTCCCTCCATTCTCTCTCTCACGCATACACACACATATCAGTTTCAATAACCTCACCTTCTTCAAGTAAGTTTAATTTTACTTTGTTAAATTGATTTTCTATTTGACGTGTTCCTCTGTTTTGTACTTACATTCTTCCATTGTTTCTTGTGTACTTTTGTAATGTTTGTCTTCTATTATGACGTGATCCATAAAAAAAATTTCCCAATGAATTAATTCTCATTTGAATTGAATTTGGTTAAGCCATTCTATCCTTCCAAGTCGACAATGCCCTTGACCCTACGATAATGCTATGAACCAAATTCAAATGCCCTAAGCCGATGATCTAGTTGGTTCCTAAAACATTGTCTCTCACACACAATAGCGAATGTAGGTTACAATGAGGGTGGGCAAATGTTAAAAAAATATTTTTCAGTTAAATAGTTTTTTATATTAATTAATAAAATATACTTTGTTATAAAAAAAAGCATAAGTTGGGATATAGGTAGATTGAATTTTTTATAAAAGGCACAGAAAATAAAATAGTTTTAAGAGAAAATTGTAAAGAAACAATCTTCATCTCAATTTCATGAATAAAATTTTCCATATAATAAACAATGAATTAAGATAAATGTAGAAGACATGCTATCAAAGCTCAAAATTTTAAATTACACACAATTGATTTGGTTGCACATATGATTTTTGTGTCTATATACTTAACTTTATCCGATAAGAAGTATCACTATTTCTTTTAAATATATATATATATATATATATATATATGTATGTATGTATTTCCATCTTAGGGTCTATTATTCTAAACCCATCATTTGCTTATTTTTCAGTAACGGATTTCAAATTATTTTTTGATACAATACTTCGGTCACCGACTAATATAATATTTTATATATTTTTTGACAATGAAAATTATATTAAACTTTGGATTTAGATTTTGAAGATATAAGGATAAGAATCCCGAAATACTAAAGGGAGATGTCTTTATTTGATTATTAAATTTACTATTGATTCGCATTAAATATTAATAATTTATATGAATTTAGGTTTGGATTTGAATTCGCCAGATTTAACCAATTAATCAAAATTTAAAATCACATTTTATTATAATTTTTATTTTCTCTTATATGTCATAATTGTTTGAAATATCAATCATCCTAATTCTCTTTTTCTCTTCTCATTTTCATTTCTTATCTTCCTTTTTTCATTATTTTCTTTAAACTTAAAATTTTTTATACTACCACAACAAAAAAATGTTTAAATATGACATTAAAAATCTAATATTCAAATCCATCGTTTTAAGCGAATCAAAATTCAAACCTTAATATAAACCCAAATTGAAGATCCATATTTCAAATTTCAAATTATAAACATAACGCGAAAGTCGATTGCAATCTCAATGAGACTGGCATAATCATGAATGATTTTGATCAGATCAAAATTTAAATTTTAAATATAGAATTTTTTATCAAAACCTATAAGTTCTTATCCCTCTATAGCCTTTCCATGATCTGTTCATCTCTCTCGCTCTCTCTCAGATCATCATCAGTTTCAACTTACCTTCTTAAAGTTCAATATAGTAGAAATTGTTCCGAATTTTGTATTTACCTTGTCGATCTTGAGTTTCAATTAGCTAGTCTTGTGTTGTTGATTATGTCCTCTATTAATGGATCAATAGCTTGATAATATATTTGTTTAATTTCTTGTTTTTTTTTTGGCCAAAGGAAGAAATAGTATTAGTAAAAGAAACAGAGTCAAATAGCATAATCTTCACTGAAAATGTGGACAGCGTCTGAAAGTCAGGAGGTACCCATTGTCCCTGAATCCGGATTGATGTTATCCAGCAGCTTTAATTTTCTTTTAATTAATTTAACCATTGTTTTTTATATATCTGTTTTATTTTGCTCTATTTATTTAGAAGGCACCGCCACCATCATCAACATCAACAACCAAAGTAAGCTTGAAGCTTTACATTGATACAAAAACGCAAACAGTTGTTTTCGCAGATGCATCGAAGGGTTTTGTAAACATGCTCATCGATCTACATCGCTCACCGGTTTCGTCGCTCGTAAACAAGAATGACACGGCCGGTTGCGTTAGGAAATTCTATGAAAGCATAAAGAATTTCAACAAAGATGCTGCTAATTACATGTTGAATCAAGATAACAAGGATAAGGAAACCAAGCAGAAGCCTAAAAAGCAAGTATACAAGTGCGACATTTGGTGCCAAAACTATATGACGATTGTTAACTTTACATGTCCATTGTGTTTGAATCCAATGTCTTTAGATGTTGACAATGATGAAAAAAATGATGCTGTTGAGATCACAGAAGCTTTGAAAGGAGATGTGACGAACTACACAGTGATGGATAATTTAGAAGTTTTCCCAATGCCTGTCAATGCAACCCTCACTTTGCTGTCTAAATTTGACATCAAAGATATTGCTTCCTTGAAAGAAAGGGTCGTTGAGTTGGGCAGAGAAGAGCTGTGTGTGTATAATATGATCATGTTAGGCATTATTTAGTGATTTTAATATATATAATCTAACAAAGCCTCTACTCTTTCTTGTTTTTTCTTAAAATTTTTTGTCTTCACTGAATATAATCTAGTTGCTTTTTTTCTTTTCTTTTTAATAGGGTATCGAACTATTGAAGGCGTCCCTTCTGTGCAAGAATGTGTTGACAAGTGTTTTCCTCAACGATATGAATAAAGCGAGGGGCTCCAAAAGAAGAAATACAAGCTCATGATCAGGAAACATTCAAGATCTGAATTTTGGTTATGGGTTACATTGAAGCTGATAATTTACTTTATTGTTGGTTATATTTGTTATGCTGAATGATTATTTTCATTAGTGTTATGACAAATGACGTTATTTTTATTAATTATTGTTCATTACCAAATTAATGATACAGTTTTTATGGGTAAACAACTAGTTAATATGCATTTGGACCCGAACTTATATATAGGTATAGAGGTAATGTGGACCCTATACTCATAATTAGTACATTTTAAATCTTAAATAATTAAACATGAGACATCTTGCTCCCATTGTTAATTGTTAATTTAAAGTAAATGTCATTACTTTAACTTTAAGTGGGCCCACTCTCTCTTCCCCCTGTGTCTCCCTCTTCTTCCTCCTCCTCCTCATCTTCTCTAGAAACTAATTCTGCCAAGATAACCCAGCTCGCTTGTCGTCCTTGTCCAGTCATCTTGCTCGTGCTTAGGTTGGCTGTTCTCAATCTCCATTCCTACACAATTATAAACCAGCGACTGGTAGGAGTGAAGCCTTTAACACCACGATTATGTCCATGTGATCGACACCAACTTCATGCACAGCCTCCAGTGGCCAACCTTAATTTAAGCCCTCGTTGAGTTAGCACGCTCCATCAACGTCTGATTTTTCCTTCGTTGTAGCTTCCAGATTTGAAGACATCAAAAACATGGACTATAACAGGAGACCCTGCTAGCTACAAGGTCACCAGAAGCCTATGTCACCAAGTGACAATTTTCTTCAGTAATTGATAAAGGTGGTTAAGGGAGGGTTTAATCTCATGAGCTTAGTGGCCACCAAGTAACCAACCCATTTAATTATACATAAGCAATATATATATATATATATATCTATGTATGTAAGTATGTAGTTGTCCAAGCTTTTAATTCAAGCTTCTACAAATGTTAGTATACATTTGAATTTTAACAATAATTTATTCAAAATTAATAACAATCTATTCAAGATTTAATAAGTTAGGAAAAAAATAGGATGGGTTTAATTGTATAAATGTTAGTCCTTTATCAATAAGTACCTATTTAGATTTTGACAACAACTCGTTCAAAATTAACAACAATCTATTTGAGCTTTGACAAGTTAGAAAAACTGATAGGATGTGCTTAATTTAATCATACATAAGCAATATATATATATATATATCTGTATGTATGTATGTATGTGGTGGGTCGGTGGGATTCAAATTTTAACAACAATTTATTCAAAATTAATAACAATCCATTCAGGATTTAATAAGTCAGAAAAAAAATAATAGGATGGGCTTAATTGTGCAAATGTTAGTCTTTTATCAATAAGTACCTATTTAAATTTTGACAACAACTCGTTCAAAATTAACAAGCCGTTTGGGCTTTAACAAGTTAGAAAAAATAATAGGATGGGTTTAATATGTGCAAATGTTAGTCCTTCATCAATAAGTATCTATTCACATTTTGACAACAAGCTATTCGAAATTAACAACAATCCATTCGGGCTTTAACAAGTTAGAAATATTGATAGGATAGGTTTAATTGTGCAAGTGTTAATCCTTCATCAACAAGTATCTATTTAGGTTTTGATAACAACCCATTCAAAATTAACAATAATCCATTCAGGCTTTAACAAGTTAAAACAACTGATAGGATGAGCTTAATTGTGCAATTGTTAGTCCTTTATCAACAAGATTCATTCAAAATTAACAACAATCCATTCGAGTTTTAACAAATTAAAAAAAAAAGAGTGCATAAGTCTAATGGAATAAGTGTTTACTCTACATAAATTAACACAATTGCATTGTTGTCAAAACTTAAATGGCATGTTTGTGCAAGGTGAACACATTTTATCAGACATGTGCTGTCAATTTTTCTAACTTGTTAAATTTTAAATGGACTGTTATTAATTTTAAATGAATTATTGTCAAAACCTAAATAGATATTTGTTGATGAAGGACTAACACTTATATAATTAAGCTAATCCTATCAGTTTTTCTAACTTGTTAAAGCTTAAATGGATTGTTAATTTCAAATGAGTTGTTATCAAAACCTAAATAGATACTTATTGATGAAAGATTGATACTTGTATAATTAAGCTTACCTATCAATTTTTCTAAATTGTTAAAGCCTGAATGAATTGTTAATTTCAAATAAATTATTAAAATCCAAATGGATAAACCCATCCTATTAGTTTTTCTAAATTGTTAAAGCCAAAATGGATACTTGTAGATGAAGGATTAATAATTATACAAGTAAGCCCATTCTATTAGTTTTTTTTAACTTGTTTAATTTTAAATGAATGTTAATTTTAAATAAATTATTGTTAAAACTTAAATAGATACTTATTAATGAAGGACTAATACTTAAAAAAACTTAAATTAAAAGCTTGAGTTACTACACACACACACACACATATATATATATATATATTGGCTATATGTGATCAAATAAGCTTGATGAATTGGTGGTCACCCTTGGCTACCTTTACCAATTATTGAAGAAAATTATCACCGGCACCAGAGCTCTGGTGACTTTCCATTGATAGGGCTCCAGCAACCTTGTTGCCTTTAGGGTTTTTCGCAATGATCCATTAGGCAACGCTGATGATGGGGGAATAATTTTTCCAAAATATTATGGTCATTTCATACTCAAAATTACTTTACTGTTTTTAGGTTTTTATGTGACAACTATAATTTAAATCGTGCAAAAACATTACATCTAAACATCATAATTGAATAAAATGTAGTCATAAAACTAATATGGATATCTCAAAATAACTTAATTTATTTTGCCAATTTTTTATTAATTGAATCAAATAGTCAAACACGAAACACTGTTCTTATTAGGCTTATTTCGTCAGGTTCGAGTCTTGGCCTTAGAAATGAAGGAAATTGTCATTAAAAAGGCCTTACATCAGGGGCCAAAACAAAAAGGACTTCCTACTGTAGGGGTTAATTAGTTGTTTTCTGATCCATCAATCTACATTTCACAGAAAAACTAGATATTATCGATCATTCAATATGATTTTCTCTAAAAAAGAAAGAAATAATTAAATAGGCTATAATAAAATCTTGCAAGTAGATAGAAATGCACCAACAGGCAATGTCTCTTTAACCAAAGTAAATCTATGCTTGGACAATTATCAATTTGTCGTAGAAATCCACCAATGGGCAATGTCTCTTTAACAAAAGTAAATTGATGCTAAATCGATGCTTGAACAATCATCAATTTCAATCCATCATAAACCAAGTCTCAACATTTTGAACTTTGCAAGAAATTCCTTTTTGCTCCCTTTTAGTCCCCCATGTTCTTCAGAAAAGCATTTGTCAAGAATTGATTGCTCTGGAGTGAGGCCTTAAGCAGTTTGATACCCTAGTAAATTAAAAAAAAAAATGAGAGAGAAAAATCACTAATAAAACAACATGAATGATTATCAATGACAGATTAAGAGAAAAACACAATTATTTTCAAGACAACTATATTAATGACCTAAAATATCATACCATCTCTATTATTTATACTATTTAATAACTTCTTGAGCTGTGCACATAATCTTATATGGCAAATATTTTCAAACAGAAATAGTAATACACGACTTACCTCTTCAATGCCTAGCTCAACGGTCCTTTCTTGCAAGGCACTAACATCTTTGACGTTAAATTTGTTCAGTAAGGTAAAGCAAGAAATGGTAGACATAGGCTGAACCTCAAGATCATCCATCACCATGTAAGCAGAGTGAAACCATGTGGCTTGAAAAGAAAGAATACCGACGTCGGCCTCTGAATTTTTGTGATGTCTTACATTAATAAAGACTGATAATTTACATTCAGAGTAATGCAACTTTTACTCTTTTAAATTTATTTTAATTATTAATTTAATCTTTCAAGTTTTATTTTTATCAATTTAGTACATTAAGTTTACTTTGGTTATTAATCCCATTGTTTGAAAAGGAGAGGTTACATTGTTAAAATTTGCTGACATCAATAGCAAAGTATAGATGGCAGTCATGTAGGTTAATGAAAAGAAGGATAATTAATTAGGTAGAAAAAAAGCCAGACTCTAAAATTTTTAAAAACAAGAGAACAAGACACAATGAAAGGGATTATATTGATAAAAGTTAAACTGATTTCAGGGTTAATTTGTTATTATTTAGCTACATATACATACCAACCCATCAATAAACTTTATACATTAGATTATTTTAAAAGTCAATTTGTGTTTTAAAATTTAAAGGACTCACATAATAATTTAAGAAAAACATAAGGGATCAAATCAACAAAATTAAACTTGAGGGACCAAATCAATAGTTGAGGCAAATTTAAAGGACTAAAAGTCTCATTATCCTAACCTTTTAATTTAATTTGGGTTATATATGCTAAATTTTTCGTTACCAAAGTCATGTTTCTAATTTCTTTTGTGTCTTTAATCTGCACTCCTTCCATTCTACTCCTTTCGGTCCTTATTTGAGGGTATTTTTTGAAAGATTTTTTTTATTCTTAATATAAGATACCTGATTAGGTATTTATTATATTTTTAATATAATTCTATTTAAACTCATTAACTATGAGAATGTAATGTAAATTTAAAAATTCTTCATTTAAATAGAAATAAAATTAGAAAATTTTATTCTATTTTTAGACAAAGTTAATAACTTAACATCTTTTTTTTTTGGTGAGCTAATTAGAGGTTATTTTCCATGTTGGTTTTTTGTGCAATCGACGTGAAAAGTTGACTTTTCACAATGGTTATTACAACAACCATTGTTAAAAGTTTAATTTTTTAAAAATATTATTTATTTTTTTATACATCCAAAACTTAAAACCTATAAATTTCTAAAAGTATGATTAGATAAAGTATATATATATATATATATATATTTATTAGTTCAATCATATTTGTTTATCAATTTATAAAGTTCAGGAAAAAAAATTTGGTAGCATTTCCTCTAAAAGTTAGACATTTCAAAATTTTAACAATAATCAAATTTAACCCAAATAAACTCAAATCTCAAGTGTTTTATATTTCTAATATAAATAATTCAGCCATATGAAATTTTTAACAATATAAATTTCAGCAATAAAATAAAAATTAAATAAATTTTAGCAACAAATGGAAGAGGGAGGCTGAAGAATCATAGCTAGAAATTCAAAAACTTCAAATGTACCCATCTAACATAAATTTCAAAAACTAAAAAAATTGGTGAAAAAAAATGGAACTTACTTGGAACCCGCAACAATGAAAGAGGGAAGTTGAAGAAGAAATCATAAACTAAAAATGTTAAAGCAAAACAGGCAAAAAAATTGTTGAAGATAAGTATTTAATAACAATGGAGGAAGGAGGAAAAGGGAAGAGGGAGCAAAAAAAGAGTGTGTGAAAAAAACCTTTTGGAAAACGTTGATGGTTGGACGGACGACAGTTAGGTGAACAACGGATGACGACTCATGGCGGTAGACGACAATCAAAAACCCTAGATGGAGTCTCTGGAGGGAAAAGATGCAACCTTGGGAGAAGAAATGCAAAATTGTGAGAAAATGACGAACTGGTGCGAAATGACATTGTGTTTCTAATATAAAGCAAAACATTCACTTTTAACGTCGGTTCTTTATAGAATTGACAATAAAAGCGAACCTTTTTTTTTTAATGCACTTTTCACGTCGGTTTGTGTTAAAACTGACTTGAAAAGCAAGACATTTAATGTTGGTTCATTAAAGAACCGACGTCAAATGTCTATTTTTTTCATTTTGTTTTTTAATTTTCACCATCAATTAATAAGAAACCAACATGGAAAATAGATTTTAACAATGATTTAATTATAAACCGATGTTAAAAGTTTTCTTGTTATTTATAATTAAGCCACTACCTTTTTTTTAATACTAGTTTTTTATATAACCGACAATAAAAGGCACGAAATGCAATTTCTGCAGTATAACGTCATTATTATAATTAGGACAGGAAGAAGTATAAGTTATTTTTTAATATAAATCTAGAAAAATTTATATTCCTTTTTATAAGTCACTTTATATAAAAAAAACATAATTATCATCAACTATTTTTAAAATTTTACCCTTTTACAATTTTTTGTGAATAGCGGGTAAAAAAGCTATAGGAGAGATAACATATTTTTTTTTAAGATTTAATAAGGGTTTCAGCTAAAAAAAGATTTAATAAGAGTGAATTCAGAAACAATATTAATAATTTAATTACATGATTTTTAATTTTAGTAAATTATTTAAAAATGACTTATAAATAAAAGGCTAAAATACATAAAACCCTCCTGAATTTTGAGACAGATGTATATAACTACTTTCACCTTTAAAAGTTTAAAATTAACCCCCTAACCTATAATTTTATTTTTCAAAACCCCCTATTATTAATTAAGTTACTTTTTTATGAGGGTTAAAATGTCATTCAACTAAAAATGTTATTAAACAAAAATATTATATTGTATAACTCTTTAAATTTCTTATATTTTTTGGATAGTTGAGGCATTGATGACAAAAAAAAAAATATTATTATCGCTCTATAAAATTTTGAATATTTATGTTTATATTTGTTTTATCTAGTTTTTTTTGTTATCAATGGTGCATGATTTTATTGTTTTAAAAGATAAATTTTTATTTATATTTCATGTTAGATTAATGTAATGCATATGGCTAAAATATTTAAAATTTTAAATATTAAATTTTTAAATAATAGATAAATTTTAAAATTGATCTAACATGGTAATATTAGAGTAGATTATAACATTTTTTTAGTTGAATGACATTTTAACCTTCCTGAAAAAATAGCATAATTAACAATAAGGGGTTTTGAAAAATAAAATTAAAGATTAGGGGAGTTAATTTTAAACTTTTAAAAGTAAGGGAGGTTATTTGCAACTGTCTTAAAGTTCAGGAGGGTTTTATGTATTTTAACCTAAATAAAATTAAAAAGTATATATGTATTATATTGGCGTGCATTAGATACTCCCTCCACGTATCTAATGTACATTGCATTGGAGAGACTATTAATTAGAATTATCTATATTCTCATTCAAAGAATCAAATCACGTCCGCCCTTCCTGTTCTTTCCAAAAAAAAAAAACAGTTATAAGCCAATGAAACGCCATGATCTGAAATGTTCTCCATTTTATAGCATTTACTTCCTTCGATTTTTTTTTTTTTCATATTTTTAACTCAACATAACTAACCAACTAACTGAGCCATTACTTTAAACACAAGTTTTTATTATCAAGTTTGAAACCCTAACCGCCAAGATAAAGAGACTAGTATGCCAGTTTTGCTTAGATTCAGGTGACTTCTTGCAGTTCCTCCTCTTGATTCTTGCATAATGCTTAAACTTCTAAAAGCCGTACATTCTTCCTTCTTTGTTTGAGAACATGAGTTACAGTATGAGCTGTAATCGAAATATTATCAGGATAGTTGAGCTACACACAGTGTGAAATCTGGATGTGTAAAATCAGCATAATTGATCAAACTTTTCAAGTTTTAAGCCTAAAACGATATTCGATTTAATTCGGTTGCAATCTTACTGAGATTGGCATGATCAAGCAGAGATGATTTTGATTAAGTCAAAATTTAAATTTCAATGATAGAATTTTTTTTCAAATCCCATTATCAACCCCCCCTCTCTCTCTATATATATATATAAAACAAGCGAAGTTACATCCATTCCTTCTCCGTACCTTCTCGAGGCTTAAGTTCTTCTCCCTCCATTCTCTCTCTCACACATACACACACATATCAGTTTCAATCGACTTACCTTCTTCAAGTAAGTTTAATTTTACTTGGTTAATTTGATTTTGTATTTGACTTGTTCCTCTGTTTTATATTTACATTCATCCATTGTTTCTTGTGTATTATTTTAATGTTTGTCTTCTATTATGACGTGGTTCATACAAAAATTTCCCAATGAATTAATTCTCATTTGAATTGAATTTGGTTAAACCATTCTATCCTTCCAAGTCGACAATGCCCTTGACCCTACGATAATGTTATGAACCAAATTCAAATGCCCTAACCCAATGATCTAGTTGGTTCCTAAAACATTGTCTCTCACAAACAATGGCGAATTTAGGTTATAATGAGGGTGGGCAAGTTTTCCCAAAAAAAAAAAATCAGTTAAATAGTTTTTTATATTAATTAATAAAATATACTTTGTTATAAAAAAGCATAAGTTGGGATATGGGTAGATTGAATTTTTTTATAAAAGGCACATAAAATAAAATAGTTTTAAGAGAAAATTGTAAAGAAACAATCTTCATCTCAATTTCATGACTTAAATTTTCCATATAATAAACAATGAGTTAAGATAAATTTAGAAAACATGCTATCAAAGCTCAAAATTTTAAATTATACACAATTGATTTGGTTGCACATATGATTTTTATGTTTATTTACTTAACTTTATCCGATAATAAGTATAATTATTTCTTTAATATATATATATATATATATATAGATATATATATTTCCCTCTCAGGGTCCATTATTCCAAACCCATCATTAGCTTATTTTTCAGTAACGGATTCCACATTATTTTTTGATACAATACTTCGGTCACACACTGATATAATATTTTATATATTTTTTTGACACAATGAAAATTAGACTAAACTTTAGATTTAGATTTTAAAGATACAAATAAGGATTCCGAAATACTAAAGGGAGATGTCTTTATTTGATTATTAAATTTACTATTGATTCGCATTAAATATTAATAATTTATATGAATTTAGGTTTGGATTTGAATTCGCCAGATTTAACCAATTAATCAAAATTTAAAATCGCATTTTATTATAATTTTTATTTTCTCTTATATGTCATAATTGTTTGAAATATTAATCATCTTAATTCTCTTTTTCTCTTCTCATTTTCATTTCTTATCTTCCTCTTTTCATTATTTTCTTTAAACTTAAAATTTTTTATACTACCACAACAAAAAAATGTTTAAATATAACATTTTAAATCTAATATTCAAATCCATCGTCTTAAGCGATATTCAAAATTCAAACCTTAATATAAACCCAAATTGAAGATCCATATTTCAAATTTCAAATTATAAACATAACGCGAAAGTCGATTGCAATCTCAATGAGAATGGCATAATCATGAATGATTTTGATCGGATACAAATTTAAATTTTAAATATAGATTTTTTTTAAAATCACATTATCAAATGAATATCAAAACCTATAAGTTCTTATCCATCCATAGCCTTTCCATGATCTGTTCATCTCTCTCGCTCTCTCTCAGATCATCATCAGTTTCAACTTACCTTCTTAAAGTTCAATATAGTAGAAATTGTTCCGAATTTTGTATTTACCTTGTCGATCTTGAGTTTCAATTAGTTAGTCTTGTGTGTGTTGTGTTGTTGATTATGTCCTCTATTAATGGATCAATAGCTTGATAATATATTTGTTTAATTTCTTGTTTTTTTTTTGGGGCCAAAGGAAGAAATAGTATTCGTAAAAGAAACAGAGTCAAATAGCATAATCTTCACTGAAAATGTGGACAGCGTCTGAAAGTCAGGAGGTACCCATTGTCCCTGAATCCGGATTGATGTTATCCAGCAGCTTTAATTTTCTTTTAATTAATTCAACCATTGTTTTTTATATATCTGTTTTATTTTGCTCTATTTATTTAGAAGGCACCGCCACCATCATCAACATCAACCACCAAAGTAAGCTTGAAGCTTTACATTGATACAAAAACGCAAAGAGTTGTTTTCGCAGATGCATCGAAGGGTTTTGTAAACATGCTCATCGATCTACATCGCTCACCGGTTTCGTCACTTGTAACCAAGAATGACACAGCCGGTTGCTTTGGGAAATTCTATGAAAGCATAAAGGATTTCAACAAAGATGCTGCTAATTACATGTTGAATCAAGATAACAAGGATAAGGAAACCAAGCAGGAGCCTGAAGAGCAACTATATAAGTGCAACTATCGGTGCAAAAATTATATGAGTATTGTTAACCCTACATGTCCAATGTGTTTGATTCCAATGTCTTTAGATGTTGACGATGATGAAAAAAATGATGCTGTTGAGATCGCAGAAGATTTGAAAGGAGATGTGATGAATTACACAGTGATGGATGATTTAGAAGTTTTCCCAATGCCTCTCAATTCAACCCTCACTTTGCTCTCTAAATTCGACATCAAAGATCAAGATATTGCTTCCTTAAAAGAAAGGGTCGTTGAGTTGGGCAGAGAAGAGGTGGGGTGTGTGTGTGTATAATATGGCCATGTTAGGCATTATTTAGTGGTTTTAATATATAAAATCTAACAAAGCCTACTCTTTCTTGTTTGTTTTTTTTTTTTTAAATTTTTTGTCTTAACTGAATATATAATATAGTAATCTAGTTGCTTTTTTTTTTTTCAATAGGGTATCGAACTATTGAAGGCGTCCCTTGTGTGTAAGAATGTGTTGACAAGTGTTTTCCTCAACGATAAGAATAAAGCAAGCGGCTCCAAAAGAAGAAATACAAGCGCGTGATCAGGAAACATTCAAGATTTGAATTTTGGTTATGGGTTACATTAAAACTGATAATTCACTTTATTTTTGGTTATTGTTATGCAGAATGATGATTTTCATTAGTGTTACAATAAATGAAGTTATTTTTATTAATTATTGTTCATTACCAAATTAACAATACATTTTTTATTGGTAAACAACTATTTAATATGCATTTGGACCGTAAACTATATATATAGCTCTAGGAGTAATTTGAACCATAGTACATTTTGAATTTTGAATAATTAAACTTTGGCATCCTCGCCCCCATTGTTATTGTTAATTTAAATTAAACGTCGTTACTTTAACTTTAAGTGGGCTCACTCTCTCCCCCACTATGTCTCCCTCTTCTTCTTCCTCCTCCACATCTTCTCTAGAAACCAGTTCTACTAAGATGATCTAGCTCATTCATCATCCTTGTCCAGTCATTTGGCTCGTGCTTAGGTTGGGCCTTCTCGATCTCCATTCCTACTCAATTATAAACTAGCTACTGGTAGTATTTCACAAGTGTGCTTGAGGAGTGAAGCCTTTAACAGCCATGATTGTGTCCATGTGATCGACTCCAACCTCATGCACAGCCTCCCGTGGCCAGCCTTAATTGAAGCTCTCGTTGAGTTAGTGCGCTCCATCAACGTCCGATTTTTCCTTTGTTACAGCTTCCAGACTCGAAGACATCAAAACCATAGACCACAACAGGAGACCCTGCCAACGACAAACAATTTTCTTCAATAATTGATAAAGGTGGCCAAGGGCATGTTTAATCCCATGATCCCTTGGCTTCCTACAAAGCTTGATGACCACCAATTGATCAAGTCCATTTAATCATATATAACAATATATATATATATATATATATGTAGTTGTCTAAGCTTTTAATTCAAGCGTATACAAGTGTTAGCCCTTTATCAATAAGTATTCATTTAAATTTTATTAACAATCCATTCATGCTTTAACAAATTAGAAAAAAATAATAAGATATATAGGTTGAATTGTGCAAATGCTAATCCTTTATTAACAAATATCTATTCAAGTTTTTGACAACAACTCATTTGAAATTAACAACAATCCATTCAGACTTTAACAAGTTATAAAAACCGATATAATGGGCTTAATTGTGCAAGTGTTAGCTCTTTTCATTAACTAGTATTTATTCAGGTTTTGACAATAACCCATTTGAAATTAACAACAATCCATTCAAGCTTTAACAAGTTAGAAATACTAATAAGATGGGCTTAATTGTGCAAGTGTCAATCATTCATCAATAAGTATTTATTCAGGTTTTGACAATAGCCCATTTGAAATTAATAACAATCAATTTGGGCTTTAACACGTGAGAAAAACTGATAGTATGGGCTTAATTGTGCACGTGTTAGTCCTTTATCAATAAGTATCTATTCAGTTTTTAACAACAATTTATTCAAAATTAACAACAATCCATTTGGGCTTTAATAAGTTAGAAAAAATGATAAGATGGGCTTAATTAATTAGTCGTTCATCAATAAATATCTATTTAAGTTTTGATAACAACCCATTCAAAATTAAAAATAATCCATTTAAGCTTTAACAAGTTAGAAAAACTAATAGGATTGGCTTAATTATGTAAGTGTTAGTCTTTTATCAACAAGTATCTATTTAGAGTTTGACAACAACCCATTTAAAATTAATAATAATCCATTCGAGCTTTAACAAGTTTAAAATGCTGATAGGTTTAATTGTACAAGTGTTAGTCTTTTATTAACAAGTATTTATTCTGGTTATGACAACAATCCATTCAAAATTAACAATAATCTATTCAAGCTTTAATAAGTTAGAACAACTAATAGGATGATCTTAATTGTGCAATAGTTAGTCCTTTATCAACAAATATCCATTCAAAATTAACAACAATTAATTCAAGCTTTAACAAGTTAAAAAAAAAAGAATGCATAGGTCTAATGAAATAATTATTCATGCTACATAAATTAACACAATTGCATCATTCTTGAAACTTGAATGGCTTGCTTATACAAGGTGAACACATTTCATTAGACTTGTCTTGTCAATTTTTCTAACTTTTTAAATTCCAAATGGATTGTTGTTAATTTTGAAAGAGTTATTGTCAAAACTTAAATGAATACTTATTGATAAAAGACTAACACTTACATAATTTCAATTTGTTAAAGCTTGAATGGATTACTAATTTTGAATGAGTTGTCGTTAAAACCTAAATGGATATTTGCTGATGAAGGATCAACACTTGCACAATTAAGCTTATCCTATCAGTTTTTCTAAATTGTTAAAGCCTAAATAGATTGTTAATTCTAAATGAATTGTTAAAATACAAATGGATAAACCCATCTTATTAGTTTTTCTAACTTGTTAAAGGCAGAATGGATACTTATTGATAAATGATTAACACTTACACAATTATGCCCATTGTATTAGTTTTTTTAACTTATTAAAGTCTAAATGAATTGTTAATTTTGCATGAACTGTATTTTTAGACCATATTTAGACCAGTTTGTTGTGGTTTTCATCAATGACATTCTGGTTCATTCAGAAGATGAGGAACAATATGCCAAACATCTTCGGATTGTCCTTCAGATTCTTAAGGAGAATAAACTCTATGCCAAGCTCAGTAAGGGCGAGTTTTGGCTGAGAGAAGTTAGATTTTTAGGCCACGTGGTATCAGTAGATGGGATTTCTGTTGATCCTCATAAAGTTGATGTTGCGTTGAAATGGAATGGCTTAGTTCAGTTACAAAAATTTAAAGTTTTCTGGGATTAGTTGGATATTACCGAAGGTTTATCTAAGGTTTCTCTCAGATTGCTTCCCCATTGACAAAATTGACTCGGAAAGATCAACCTTTTATTTGGGATGACAAGTGTGAGACTTCATTTCAGAAACTAAAAGAGAGATTAACAACAACAACTGTGTTAATAATTCTGAATCCAAGACTACCATATGAGGTGTATACAGATGCTTCCCTAAGAGGTTTAGGTTGTGTACTAATGGAAGATGGAAGAGTGGTGGCATATGCATCAAGATAACTCAGGCCACATGAAAAGAACTACCTGGCTCATGATTTAAAACTAAAAGTAGTGATTTTTGCACTAAAGATTTGGCGTCAGTATTTGTTTGGGTCAGTGTTTAGCGTTTCAGTGACCACAAGAGTTTAAAGTATCTAATAGATGATAAGGAACTGAACATGAGATAAAGAAGATGGATGGAATTACTTAAAGACTATAACTTTGAGTTGAAATACCATCCTGGGAAAGCTAATGTAGTAGCTGATGTGTTGAGCAGAAAGACGCTACATATAGCTAGTCTAATAATCCGAGAACATGATTTAATGGAATCTTTCATTGATTCTCAACAGGATACATCATTGAAGGCTTTAGTTGGTGCTTATGCTACTATGATTAGTAGTGATTTTTTAAAGGAATTGAGAATGGCGCAGTTGGAAGATGAGTATCTTCTTAAGATTCGAGAAGAGGTTGAGTCAAATCTGGTAATAGATTTTAGCTTCAATGATGATGAATTCATAGTTTATCAAGATAGAATTTGTGTGCCTAGCGATAAAGATTTGAGAAGGGTGATTCTAAATGAAATACATTGTAGTAAGTATACTATTCACCCAGGAGCTATGAAGATGTATCAGGATATTAAACATTATTGGTGGTGGCCAAGAATGAAAAGAAAGGTGACAGAGTTTATAGCACGGTGTTTGACTTGCCAAAAAGTGAAAATTGAATATTAGAGGCTGGCTGGGACACTATAGCCATTAGAAATACCTAAGTAGAAATGGGACAGCATTTCTATGGATTTCATCTCTAGATTGCTAAGAACTCAATTAGGACATGATGCTATTTGGGTGATTATTGATCGATTGACTAAGTCAGCTCACTTTTTAGCCATCAGGATCAGTGATTCTCTAGAGAAGTCGGCTAAGACCTATATCTGAGAGGTTGTACGTTTACATGGAGTACCTAAGGAAATAGCCTTTGATCAAAATTTAAGATTTACATTCAGGTTTTGGGGAGCTTTACAAAGAGCCATGGGTACTACTTTGAAGTTTAGTACCACTTATTATCGTTAGACTGATGGACAAATGGAGCGAACCATTCAGACTCTAGAAGATATGCTACGATCTTGTGTGTTAGAGTTATGTGGTAATTGGGATAGTTATTTTCTATTGGTTGAATTTGCATACAATAATAGTTATCATTCCAATATTCAACTGGCTCCATATGAAGCTTTATATGGGAGG